AGACGGCGGAGAGTCGGCCCGCAGGAGGCGGCTTGGCACTCACCGAGGTCCGGGATAACCTCCCTGTCCCGTACCTAATGTATCAAACCCGTCTGGGCTCACGGGAATATACATACTGATTCTATCACGTCTATGTGTGTTTTTTTTACAGAACTGATACAGTTGAGAGGCGATGTTTAAAAACTTGACTTTTGCGCGATGAGGACCGCGCAAATCCAGGGCAACAATGACGGGATGCAGCGAAACTAACTCTTCACAGTGTTCATGATAATGAATTTTGACAGTTCTGATCCCTCCACTGAGAGGTGAGGTACTAGAATGTTTAAGGGCTTATATCAGTCAGCCTTCCGTAATATTCTTGAGACACAGAAACTGCCCGTGTCAATCGATCTAGTAGAGAATCGTTGGTGTGCAGAATAGTAATGGGAGCACCTAGCGTAAGAACCAGACCACAACAACCGCTGGACTAAAGAAACATTTCTCGACCTTTATACTTTTCCCAATTGCGTAATGTCTACACTCTCATTTTGTTCCAAAATAAATTTCATCACCTCCCTGCTGTGATGAACGTAAAATTATGGCAATCCATCATCCAACTGTTGACTTTATGACATCCTCCAAATATGGACAAATCCACAAAGACCGGAGAGAGCAAATCGCACGCTTTTGTAAGATTGACTTGTAATAACTGTGGTCCACGTGGGAATGACATCGCTGGATACAGATGACAACAGAGAGATGGCCGGAGGACATCCCAGTACGAACAAACGTCATAAAAACAGCGTCACTGTGACAGGGGCTCAAATTGTACGGGCACATGTCCAACCTGCACTTACTGTAAGAGTCCTTGCGGAGCGTTGAAAGAAAATTTTCCATCAGTCTGTGGCTATACAACTGCCAGACGTGGGAGATGCGAGCACTTTCGTTTAAACGTGAACGGTAGATGGATTCTGAATTGCTGATTGGATGCAGAAAGGATGGAACGAAGTGATGAAGAAATAGAGACAGGATGTTTGAGATAGCAAGATCCACTAAGTAATGCGCATGTTATTTGTCCGAGTCTAGAAACATGGCTGTAAGCATTGGGGCTGTTGGGTGATTTTGTATCTATTAACTGTATCTATATCTATCTGTGTTGTTGTGACCTATACTTATCCTAGTGTGGCAAAAATGTGCAATAAAGGTAATCATTCATTCATTCATGTATATCAGGTATCAGGTTAGCTTTGCTACCATACGTAATTCTAAACTACAGAACGTCCTCGGGTAGTAAACAGGAGAAGAGATGATATTTCTTCTATTTCCTCAGGCAAAAAGTTCTTATTGCTTTGCATGGCACATTGCTGAGTTCTAATTTACGATCAAAACGTTTACTCTATTCAAACCACCAGCGTGTGCGTATCATGTCCTTAACCTACAGTTTTTGTAAGGCATGTTGATTTGGTTATCTGGATGTTGCAGTAGTAGTTTGTTTTCTTACATATTCTCTCCAGCCTGCGAATGTGTGTTGTGGCATCCCCGTGAAATCGGCGAGTGGGTCTATCGACAAAGCCTTAGCTTGTGGCTGTAGTAGACGCTTATTAAGTTACTTAGCGTTAAGAGGTGTACCTCCTAGGGGGTTTAGTGCCTTCTGCGAAATAAAGCTGCTTGGGGACGATAAGGAGACGTGAACGCGGAGTCTAATCCCCGTCACGATGAAGAAACTTGCGATAGTGTCCTGAGATGTATCTGATGCCCAGGGTCGTGCGTCAGCATCACGTGGATGTTTTTGTGCTCATGGCCTGGCGCGCTTTCGGGGTAAAGTTGTGTGCAGATGGCCTTTTGGACGGTCGTGTAAAATGATTTAGCTCTAGGGGTGACGTGGGTTTTGCGCGTGATCCTCAGAACGTGTTCAGAGAGGGCGATGACTTGTCTCCGAAACGCGGTAATCTTACGCAACCGTTCCTAGTCATTAGCTGCCGAATCTTGCGTGTCATAAGTTTATAACTGTCGCACGTCGCATTTAATCCGATTTGGAGTTCTAGGCGCGCACAATCCGAGCCCATTACACATTCAAACGGCTGATGATTGAACGTACCCGCCGTGTGCCGTAGATTGGATGTTTGTGAGTCTTCAATGGGACCGTTGATCAGCGGCGGCGACAGTTGGGCCATGTTGATTTCATTATATGGATGACATCCACGCGCGCATGAATTTTCGGCCGTTCAAAAAGAATTCAACCATTCTGTAAATTGCACAAAACAGTTGCAAAATGGGCAAATATATACTGTAAGTTGAAAAAAAATATTGAAAAAACGCTACCAATGTCGTAGAATGCCAAAATCAAACGGAAAAGACGAAAATGTACAGAAATGAATTTGAAGACTAAATTATTCGCCATACCATACTCTGTGCCATTTGTTCAACCTTCATAAACACGTAGATTTTATAATGAAAACAACTTTTTTATATAGTTTTGGGGTTCCCAGTGAATGTCATCCATATAATCAAATCGTCATGGCCTTATGATGAACGTTCACTTGCGAATCAAATCTACCGATGCGCGGCTTAGCGTCCAACTTCGCGGAAATTATGAAAGGTACACAATGCGGAGTCTTACATGTGATAGATTGGGGAAGTTTAGAAATGTTCACTCAACACTCCAGGCCTGACGTACATCACAGCTTTATGGGTTTCTGCTCCGTCAACCGCTATAGATATAATGTCCAACTACATGGTTACGTGCACAGGCACTACATCTTTAACTTCAATATGCAGCCCCCGAGCTTTTCTATGTATATCACGGAAAATCTGTCTAGGATGCCTCCATACGGGTGAAGTTTAACGGTGTGGGATTCCAGTGTTAATGATAAAAGTAAATGGCATGGGAAATGTTGTAAATGCCACATCGTCAATTGTGTGAAAATGGTTTTGGGTTGTGCCAAAGACGATATGTGAGGGAAAATGAAATCATCTTGTAGTGTCATACAATATCTATGGGCCCCCAAAGTTACAAGTATGCCGGCTAACGTACAAAGAAAATGGCGCATGGCCGGCCATTATCATGGTACATAACGCCATGTATGCAAGAATGAATGACACATTTATTGGCACATGATGTATCAACGGTCGTCAAGTTGTATAGAGCTAAATCTGATCGAAATGTCGTAGATATTGTTGTTCCTATGAGTTGAAAGAAGACACTCAATCCCGGTCTGAAGTAGCGAGCAGCCTTGGAAAACGTTACTAGGTCCATAAATTGCGCAGGATACTCGATATTCCAGCCTGCCCTATATCGGACGTCCCAGATTCTGTGCTCACCAGCAATCAATAGCTAGATGGCAGGACCGATAAAGATAACTATACGTGTGTGTGGATGAGTGTGCAAGGAGGTTGAATACTTGATTTTTAACCTCCTTGGAGTACATATGTGTGTATGGTGTGTATGGTGTGTGTGTGTAGTGTGTGTGTGTGTTTGTGTGTGTGTTTGTTTGTGTGTGTGTATGTGCGTGTGTGTGTGTGTGTGTGTGTGTGTGTGTGTGTATGTGCGTGCGTGCATGTGTATGTGTGTGTGTGTGTGTATGTGTGTGTGTGTGCGTGTGTGTGTGTGTGTGTGTGTGTGTGTGTGCGTGCGTGCGTGCGTGCGTGCCTGCGTGTGTGTGTGGTGTATGTAGTGTGTGTCGGTGGATGGGTGAGGGACCCTATAGGGTGTCATTAACTTTGGTATTGTCTGACTAAGATGCATGAAGCACATGCCACAGCATCATTACGTTACAGACACGGGTATGAAACTCCGCTGCCCCGCCTGGTGCACCCCGCAGTCTGTCAGCTTCACTTTCCCGCGCTTTTCATCCACCGTCCGCCTTCATTACTCCCGCGTCTGTGACCACTGGTGCAGCGGTATGAAACACTGACCCTTCCGGGCGCGCCGCCGCGGAAACACAACAGCCATTTGATTGCTTCACGCCGCTTTAAGGCACGATAATTTCCGGGTCGTTTGGCGTTATGGGAGCAAAGTAGTTGAGCCACTATAAATCAGCCAGGCTCGGGTGCCATCAAATATTAAAGTCAAACAGTTTCACCCGATTACCTAACAACAGCGGCGAGCGAAATGAGCCGGTGTGATGTGATTTTAGCTAATGTTAGCTTGTAATTTGACTACTGGTTCAACAGTTAGAGAAGTTCTGCCGTGTTCCGTACCGGGTACGGCAGGCTCACACGTCCACTGCTCAGACCCTGGTCCAATTTGCCGCTAGGCATGATGGATATGGGTTTTACGAGGCCCGGTCGATACGCGGCGGTGTGTTGTTTGTGGTGTCTGTGCGGCTAATTGGACAGTTTTCCTTTAGGGACCACCAAGGCGCGTCACGGTCGTAACGTTACACTATCAGGACTCAATAATCGTTCTGCCAAATCTAGTGTTTGTACGATGGGACTCTTAAGAAGACTGACGCGTGCTTCGGACACTTTTAGCATGCCGTTACATAACGGCGCAGTTACCGATAAGATCTGTTTAGCCGTATTGATCGAGTCTGGCAACAGTGGCGAAGTAAATTCTGAAAACCACAAACAGGCGTACCTGCGTGGAGACAGTTTTACCACATCGCAACTTCGTGAGGAAATATTCTGACAGGGAGAAAATGGAGGGAGAAAAATGGGGAGAAAAAGTGGCCCCACGAGAATCTTTGAGAGGAATTACGGATCCGCGGAGTACCTATAAAGAAAACATAACACAGCAGTAGCCTAATCCAATCAATTTACACAGAAGTCAGTGTACCATCCTGGTTAGTTTACGTCCGCTCCTACAGTCGCTACCTGTGGGAGTGGATGTAAACTAACCAAGATGTCACCGCCAGGCTATTTACATAGTCCAATTGCATCATAATTCATATACATGGTTTGCAACAAAAAAGGAAATTACGCTACACTGATGGACCTGCTATATTCTAACATGTTGTTAAACAATATGTTTTTCTTCGGTAAACATAATAAAAAACATGTTGTTGGTGTTCCTTTATTAGGAGACGACACCGCGCCGGAGCATCTGTCATTACGGAAGCCCTACAAACCGCCGCCTGAGTGCATGGAGGAGATTTACGTAACCAGGACAGGCACCATCCAATCACCGTCCTACCCCAGACAGTATCCACTGGACACAGAGTGTATATACATCCTCACCGGTGGGTACAGACATATAATAGTGTTCGGGGTTAAGCGTACGAAGTAGCTAAACATTAAAGAAAACGCGCACTACATTTAGTCCATTTGATAGTGCAATGAAGATCTGGTATCTCTCCTTGGTACTGAATATCCATTCGCTACTTCACAATGGCTGCTTTGAGGGAAGTCGTCAGATATGGGTTTTGTAATGGTGTTTGGGGTTGAGCATACAAAGTAGCTAAACATAAAAAGAAAGCGCGCACTACATTTAGGCCATTCAATAGTGCAATGAAGATCTGGTATCTCTCCTTGGTGCTGAATTCGCTATTTCAACGCAATGGCTGCTTTGAGGAAAGTCGTTACATCTGGATTCCGTAAAGGCGTTTGGGGTTAAGCATACAAAGTAGCTAAACAAGAAAACGTGCATTACATGTAGTCAGTCCATGGAACAGTGCAATGAAGATATGGTATCTCTCCTTGGTGCTGAATTGGCTATTTCACAATGGTTGTTTTAAGGGACGTCGTCACATCTGGATTTTGCAATGGTGTTTGGGGTTACGCGTACGATGTACCTAAGCATTAAAGAAAATGCGTACTACATTTAGGTCATTCAATAGGTGCAATGAAGAACTGGCATCTCTCCTTGGTGCTGAATTCACTATTTCAACACAATTGTTGTTTTGAAGGAAGTCGTCACTTCTAGGTTTTGTAATGGTGTTAGGGTTAAGCGTACGAAGTACCTAACATCAAAAGAAAACGCGTACTACATTTAGGTCATACAATATGTGCAATGAAGAGAGGGTATCTCTCCTTGGTGCTGAATTCGCTATTTCATAATGGTAGTTTTAAGGGAAGTCGTCTCTTCTGGGTTTTATATGAGCACGTCTGGCAAAATGAAGAACTGGCATCTCTCCTTGGTACTGAAATTGCTATTATACAATGGTTATCATGAAGGAAGTCGTCACATATGGGTTTTGTATAAGCACGTCGGGCGCATATTTGACACGCTAGTGCTGTCTATGGCTGCAGTCTGTACGGTAACCGCATGTCGTCGCCGCACCTCGGTTGTTGCAATAGACTAAGAAGGCTGATGTGTGTTAACATTGTTCTGCATACGTCCTCTGTTCCCTTGGCAGCACCGGAAGGGTACGTGATTCAGGTGGACTTCCACGGCATGTTCGACATCGAGCGGTCCTACAACTGTAAATACGACCACGTGGAGCTGCGGGACGGCATGTACGGCTTCTCCGACCTGATTGGTCGATACTGTGGGGACAACGCGCCTGCGCCGGTCAAAACCACGGGGCGGAATCTGTGGGTGAAGTTCTACTCAGACTGGGTGATCGAGGGAGCCGGGTTTGAGATGAGATACAGGGCGGAGCCAGGTAGGATAGCAGTCGCTAATATCACTTTTTTCGAGTGTTTCAAATACCTGCATACCAATTAGGAGCTTTCTATATCAGTCAAATGCGCTAGATGGCGCTTCTTGCATAACCAACGGTACTAAGATACAATATGTTACTCATCTGTGTGCCTTCTTATTCCATCCTTGCAGATCGCACAATCAGGAAGAAAGAGCCAGGTAAGACATATACCGATAAAACACTATGCACAATGAAAGACTACTTATCATTCCCTTTGTAAGAATATGGCAAAAATAAAATGTATCTAAGCTTAAGATTATTTCGAAAAACAGGAACGTTTACATTCTGTACAGAATGATAACATGTTCCGCCTATCAACTGTTCTTAGATTGCAACTTCCGTGTAAGCGGTATCAACGGCACGGCGTCGTCCAGCAGTCTGCGGCCGCTGATGGACAGATGGGCGACACCTCAGGACGGACTGGACTGTACCTGGATCATCTCCGTGCCTTACGGATACAAGGTATCTATTTTCTGTCATTTTTATCCAGGGTTTCCCAATACCCACTCAGGGGTTAACACTGACTTTTAGAGGGGCCCTTGCGTTATACATAAATAAACAAGTAGAATACATAAAGTCACATACAAACTATAAAATTAAGATACAATAAATAATAATAATAATGACAGTGATAATAGTGAAAAAACGATAACAATAATAAATGATACTACTAATAACAGAAATGTTCAAGTTCATTGTCCAGTCCTTTCCAGTTTGGTCAGAGGTTGGGCCAAGTTCAGCATTTAGCACACAAATCTGTATCAAGTCGAACAGACAAGAGTAATGACAAAAGTTTCTATCCCTCCCACGAAACGTAAAAAGTTACGAAAAGATACCACTACTAGTTTGCCAGTAGGAAATGCAATATCAATGTTAACGATTGCCTCGAAATTATGATAAATCTGGTATCCAGAAGGATGACTGTTTCTATTAAGATTTCCGTTAAACACACCGCTATCAGATCTTTCCTTGTCGTCTCGTTGGTAACTGATGTATATGTTAGTCATCCTTCAGTGACGTTAGTGATTTATCAATCTTTTTAGCGTGCCTAGTCTAGTCAATGGCCAGGGCCAGACGTCTGTCACCATGGTAACTGGTGCTGTAGCAGACACCCTGTGATGTTCGGTTACACTACATGTAGCAGAGCAGAGTTAGAGAGGCTGGTTCCCATGTATTATATATGAATGTGTTTTTGATTAAGTATCAATAAGCAGAAAGCAGTAGTTTAGACCATGCACGTGAAGGTAAACATTATGCATTTGCAAAAGTTCCTTTCCTATCTGTCTCCCAGGTGAATCTCCGCTTCACGGAGTGGGACCTGGGGCACTTTAACCAGTGTGACCGGAGTTACGTGGAGGTGTACGACCGGACCAGCGTGGCGGAGGAGATGGCTGCCCGGTACTGCGGTAACCAGGCCCCGGACCTCCAGTCCCGCAGTAACGTCATCTTCATCCGCTACTGGATGAGATATGACGAGGAACATCTCTACACGGGGACGTTCAGGGCTCTGTTTACAGCGTATGAGGATCGTAAGTCCCACTACTATAGTCTTCGCTCGGGCCCAGTAGCCATGGCCATGCTTTCATTTTAATCGCTAGAAATGTATGTCATACAATGCATATCATTCACTGCATAGTCGTTAAATATACCTCGCCAATAATTGTTGGTGAATCTTGGCCATGGGGAGAGGACCAAAGCTAACAAGGCCAAGGCTGGAGATTCCAGGCTATGGAGAGATTGAAAGAGGAAATATGAAATGGCTTAAATGTGGCATATTGTTATGTGTTATCTAGTAGAAAATATCATACTGTATCTTTTTCCTACGAAGAAACAGTGATAGTACAACTTGCATTCTTAGATACTTATCATAATGTTATGGGGTTGATCCTGAAAATTACCTTCGATTCCCGTGTTGCTCCCGTAGCGGAGGGCGGCAGATGTAAACGCGGGATGTTCAGCTGTATCGGGCAGATGTGCATCAACGACTCGCTAGTGTGTAACGGTGAACAGAACTGCCACTACCCGTGGGACGAGCAGAAATGTGGTCAGTTGTATAGTAGTTCCTGTAGGAAATAGTTTCTGTGGTTTGTTTAAAGTTAAAACTTTTGATCCAACACAAAGAAATCTCTCACCTAGAGCTTTCGACCAGTCACTCTGGTCTTCCTCAGTTTCTGTGGTTATTGTTAATGATAATGTTCTTGGTTGTAAATAGCAGTAAATTTAAAATTATAAACTACTAGTATACATTTGACAGACCAAATCAGTGTATGCCTCTGTACAGTTCAATCTAACATCGTTTGCCTCTTGCTATGTCGCTAAGATATTTTAGTACGTGGTTCTAGAAAATATTCCACCTTTATTTCCAAACCACATTGTTTACAACTTTTCTACAGCTATAAGTTTCTTCCATTACTACTTTTTTATACGTTTTACCAGAATGAATATTAGGCAACACGCTATGTTTTAATGCACGATGTAAACTTTGCATAGTACCCCTAACTTGTATTGTTTTATTTCTTCTCTCCCTCTTGTATATAGAGGAGCCATCTGGAACCCCGCCCATCTCCGATGAAAACCTGGTGACGTTTGGTATCGCCTCCTCCGTGGTGGGACTGATTCTGATCGGCGCGATCGTCCTGGGCTGCAGGCAGCCTCGCCGGAGACCCGCGGGAGGGAAGCCCCAGAACGTCAACCTGCCCAAGCGGGAGATGAACCACTGCTCCATCGGCGGCAACCCGACCATGAACTGCGACAGGACCCAGCAGACGTTAGAGCTCGTCTCCATGTCCATGTTCGAGTCTCCGATCAAGCCGGACGGTCCTAACGACCGCTACCCCCCGCGCGTGCCTTCCATGGTGACATTTTCCCCCGTCAGTTCTCCGGGGAGGTGTTTGGAGGACGACTACGGGTCGACCCCGCGCCTGCCGAACGCGGACGTCCATCGCTGCTGGAGCAGGAGTAGCAGCAGGTCGCTAACCGGCGGCGGGGGCAGGTACGGCGGTAATGTGGCCGATGTACAAGGAGAACTACAGCACGATAGAGAAGAGCCGCCGCCACCTATACATACCCAACAGGACTCCATGGAACTGGAACTGGAGCCGTTGCCGGTGACTGTCATCAATGATTACTGTAGCCAGCCGCTGCCCACTGTGGAAGAGGTAAGCGGCTCTGAGGAAGAAGCGGAGAGGATAGACATCCAGATACAGGATCCCAAAATGGTCAGGTCTACGACGGTATGACAGTGGACCACGCGCGCAGACATGGATTTTGTACGTATCAATATTGATAAATAGCGTGATCATGAAGCTGTCGAAAGAGGCTGTACAGGCATGGCGATGTCATCTCGCCTTTCCGTGGTGAATACACAGTAACGAAGATAACCCGTGTCTTCTTATTGCCACGCAGTAGTAAAAATGGACGTGCGGCCAAAAAGAACCAGACTTTGTTACTGAAACTTTTCAATGTACATGCAAATGCTTTCAAGCATTTGTTGGTTGCTTGATGCCAGAAAAGGCCTCGACAAACGCCGTGTGGCGTCACACGAAAGCAAGGACATAAAGAAAACATCCTATCAACTACCACATAAAGCAATACATCCATGCAGCACAATGTATTTGCTAGTTCCAAGCACGCCGTTCGATCCATTGTCAGTGGACGTGTTTGTAGGTGACGACCCAGAATGGGAGCAACCAACGCTTCTCCCTGACACTCATGCCACAATACAGTGAGGACTAGTAATAATGGCCCTTAACAACACACCAGGCGTCGACGTATCAAATACTAGTATGTACACAGACCTGCACTCGAGTTCTCTGACAGAAAACCTCAATTGTAGAAGGTGTAGACATTCAGTTAAATTTACAATGTAATTTATACATACATAGAAATGTTGAATGTGTTTGAGTACATATACACCCCATGACTGCGTCAGCATTTAGTAATTCACTGCTCTAATGTCGTGGGTGGACTTTGCTAGACCTGTTCCAAACATGCCGAGAGATTTAAATTTTCATATCACAAAATTTGAGTGATATCTAACAGAAAGGGGTTCACTGATCGCCACAGAATTGAAGAAAAAAAACCAACAAAATATCGAGGTATCAACAAAGCTGACAAATATAGAAAATGTTTGTAAAGATCTATGTTAAGAGGGCTAAGAGTCATATATCAGCAATCGCTATTCTTGTGTAGACGTTTTGTGGTAAATACATACTTTTGGAATAATTTTCGCTTGTGTTGTAATAATCTATCATCTCATTGAATAACACTCATCACATGCCAGTGGGTTAACTAAGGCACAATGGCTGTGACTAGCAGAAATAGCGACTTTGCCAATAGAGCCTATACAGGGTGAGGGTTGATATGGAAGGGGACTAAAAGAGGTACTAGTGAATTGTGAACTGTTCATTCCATACCTAGATCGTGGCTTTCTTTGGTATTGCCATTAAAGAGCTTTGTCGTTTACTACATGGTTGTCTTTTTCCTGTCCAATATAGTGGATAACATATACAGCGGTGACTAGACCTTTATGACTTTGTGGCCTTCAGGTAGGCTTTGGTCTGAATGATCTCACTTTATGTGCCCTAGCGACTTAAATTCAAAGGGCAGCCTATCAAATGGCAGATCACGTGCATTTGAGATGATAA